CACTGGGTCTGGGACTCAAACCACAGTCAACTACATGGGAGTCTAGCTACATAGCCATTACACAACTGCCGGTCCCCCTCCTTCTTTTTTTTAGTTTAATTATTTCATAGGAGAGCAAGAGTAAGCACTCCCAAAGGCCTTGAAACCACAATATAGCCCCAGCCTCCATCAGCTCCATATTGTAGACATGTATGTGTGCCCCAGCTCAGGAAAGTCTCTGGATTCAAACCAGAAACCTTCCTATGTGGGATAGCCTTGTAGAGTGTTAGGTTTTTTCAGGTATGCTGCCACCATATGACCCCTGTGGGCTTTTTCTCTTCTTTCCCTTTTCCTTTTTTTTTTTTTTACTTAAGAGATTTTTGCCTTAGGGCATGTGTACTCACCTAGAAGAGAGAGAGAAAGACAGAAACAGTGAGAGGGCAAGAGAGAAATCACCCCCCAGGCGGAATGGCCATGCCGCAATCCCTTTTCCCCTCCTGGGATCTTGGGCACTCATGCATATGTGCCCGGTGTGAGTTTTAAGCCACTGGGTCCATGACTAGAACTGTAGCTGGCCATGTGGGAGTCCAGTGATGGAACCAATATGCCATCTGTTGGCCCCCTCTTATAAAAAATTGCCATAGGGCATGTATGCTCTCTAGAGAGAAGAACACTCCACAGTGGGCATGGTCACACCATATCCCTTCTCCATTTCTCCTTCCTGTCAGGCTGTTGGCCCCCTCTTATAAAAAATTGCCATAGGGCATGTATGCTCTCTAGAGAGAAGAACACTCCACAGTGGGCATGGTCACACCATATCCCTTCTCCATTTCTCCTTCCTGTCAGGATTTTGGGCATTCACATATATGTGCCCAGTGTATTTCTCAAGCCTCTGCGGCTGGAAGTCAAACCACAAAGAGCTATGTGGGATCCAGTACTCTAACCACTGGGAAACACAGTTGGTCTGGCTCTTTCTTAAAATCTATTTTTCTTTACTTCCTTGGTGGCATATATGCCTTTCTCCTCCCTCCTCCATCCCACCTCTTCTCACCACACTACTTCTTTTGCCTGCCATCCTTTCTTAGATACCTTCTGCAGATCCTGTTCCCTGTTGACCTCCAAAATGCCAGTATGCTTTAGGATTTTTTCCTAGGCCTTCTCTTATCACCTCCTGATGATAAGATGAATATAATCTCAGTCATTACCAAGGCTTCACTTACCATCTTTTTGTTGATGATTTTCATTATCCGTGTCTCCAGTTAACCTTTTTCCTGAGCCTCAGATTTTTATATCTAGTAGCTTTGAATCCCTCATAGGTAACTTTAAGCTGAGCATGTTCAAAATGAAGCACTACACCCTAAAACATGGTTTTCTTCCTTGGTTCTGTATTTCCTGGATGTCACCAGTAGCCACTTAGATGCTGAAGCCCTAAGCCCATGAAAGAAATATTCTTATTCCTCCTTTTCTCTCAGAATTACACATGCAGTTTTGAATTGGCAGTCCTGCTTTGAGAATTTGTCCTACAGACATGCCTGCATACACAGAAATGATGTACAAGGTCTTTCATTGTGCCTTGGTTTGGAATAGCAGAAGATTGGAAACAATTCAAGTATCCATCTGTAGGTGACTGCATAAACTATGGAGAACGTCCGTACATTGGGACTATCATGTGTCTCTAAAATGTTTGAGGAAGCTTTCTGTGTACTAAATAAATCTCAGGATATGATGTTAAATGAAAAAGCAAGAAGTAGAATAAGTCATATAAGCTAGTTTTTATGTAATAAAGAGGGACAATATATTATCTTTATTTATATAAACAAACACTAGAAGGATGCAAAAAAAAAACTAATAAATCAAGTTACCATTAAAGTTTTAAAAATTATCAGATGGGAAGCTTCCTGTATGATCATGTTTAAGTTCAGACTAAACTGTCGAACTCTCAGCTAAACTGAGAGCATGTTCTGAATCAATATTTTATAGAGAGAGTCAGTTCCATGGCATGGTGGTTAAGGTAGCCAGATCTGGTATAGTCATTCAGGTGGTTCAGGCTCCAGATGTGGAAGCTTAAGGAAAAATGCCAGGTGCATGTGCATGCATGCCTAAAATCCCGAAGGGAGGGAGAGATGGTGGAGAAGGAATTGTAGTGTGATCATTCTCTATGAGGGGTGCTTTCTCCTCTCTCTCTGTCTTTCTCAGGCAAGTGCACGTGCTCTCTTACCAAAAAAGAAAGTATAGAGGCCAGCAGGTGGCATGGTGTTTGAGAGCACTGGACTCTCACATGGCTGGTTGTGGTTTGAGTCCCGGATCTGGTGACTTGCTTTCTCACTTTCTCTCTCCCTCTCTCTCTCTCATGTTGTCCCTTTCTGGTCAAGTTAAAATAAATAAAATTAAATAAAATAATTATTAAAAAAGTAATTGTTTTTTTTTTAAAGTATAAATATTTAAATTTTTTGTGTCAGAAATACTCCTGTGATCACATTTTAGCCTTTAGCTCTTACCATGCTTTTTATGTAATTATCACTACTATTCCTGTTTCCTCTACTATAATGTCTCTTAGTTCAAAACCACTTCTGTTGATTTTGGAATTGACTTCTCTCATACTATAGTGACAACTCTGATGTTTTCTGTTTCTGTCTTTTGGTTTCATTTGTTTGCTTTTAGGGAATGACTTTTAACTTTCCATATGAGAACATTAGATTATCCAACCATCCAGTATATCCATAAGATACTTCTTCAGTGTTAGAGAGGAAATACATATCATATTTGCAAGAGCTTTGGACCAAGGGCACTCTTTCATAATCAGTTAGATGCCTTGGAACTAAATGAAAATTTACACTTAACATTAGTATGCCTTGCTTGCTTTTATTCTGTTTTATGTGCTTTTAGAGGAAATTTTTATGGGGAAAGGGGTAGCATTAATAGGGTATATATATCAAGAATAGCTTGCTTTATGATAAAAAACCTTATATGTGTGGTAATTGGAAATGGTGGGCATTTTTAGCCTGCTTTTCCAACAAAAATCAATTACCAAGGCAACATAAAAGAACACAAAATGCTAGTGTTTTGTTATAATACTTTCTTTTTATATTATTGTTTTTATTGTTGTTTTTTACTCATATTAAAAGTTGGCTATAATAATACTTGAATTCTTCTTAGAAAATTCACCATAGTTCTTCATGTTACCTCGAAGACCAAGCGACACTTGTCTTTGATTTGTTTTCCGAAGGTGTTCTTAAAGATTATTTAAGAGAACTTCCTTCTCCTCTGATAACAAAGCAACTTTATGAGGCTGTATTAGATGCTATGATGAAAAGTCCTTTGAAAATGTCATCTAATGGTTGTGAGAATGACCCAGGTGACTCTAAGTACACTGTGGACCTGCTGGATTATCTGCCTGATGTTGAGAAGGTAAGCATAACTGGTATACATTTTTTTCTGAAAACCAGCTAATGAATTATATATCCTTAGCTTCAGAGCTACAAGTATTTTATACATTTTGACAGTTGTGACATTCATGGGTTTATGCTCTGCTTTTACTACCTTTTAAATAGAGTGAATCTAAAATTGCTTCTTCAACACCACCATCAATCTAGAAAATAGTTATCTTTTTGTATGTGATTTTAGTCTAGGCATGAATATTCCTTGTAAGTTTTTAGAGTGCATTGTTATCTTATTGGTAAGATAATATATGCTTATTATAGAAAAATTGGAATGATATAGAAGAGTGTTATTACAATGATCAATATCCAACAGCATCTGTAATTATGTATTATTAAATATGATAACTTGATCTGTGTAGCCTAGCCTTAAAACTTAAGCAACAGCCCCCACCTCCATTTCCTCCTTGCCTCTTCCCACTTTTCCCATCCCCAAAATCTGAACCTTGGGACCAGCATTCTCAGGGATGCCTACAGAAGATATAGACGGATGGCTGGGTCAGCAGAACTAGTTGTAACCTAACTTTAGCTATTCTTCCTTAGAACAGAATGGAAAGGAAATAAGAGAGAGATGGAGCGAGGAGGTTTGTCTAGATGAGGCTGACCTTTATCTATATTTTTTGTCATGTAGGGGCAGAAAGTGCAAGAAAAGCAGGTAGAAACTTTAAGCCCAGTAACTGCCCATAATTCACTAGTTTACTGTGGTCCCCTGTGCTTTGTCCAATGAGATTAGATTTACTTGTCCTTTGGGTGAGGGGAGGGGAATGGCTAAAATGCTGAAACAGAAGAGTGAGGTAGGGTAGAAGAGGGAGGGTGAAGAGGTAGACCTCTAGGTAAAATTATTTTTATTTTTGGGACCAGCAGTTAGCGTAATAGCTATGTTGCTGGACTCCCACGTAGTTGACTGCAGTTTGCGTCCTGGACCCAGTGGCTTAAAACTCACACCGGGTGCATGTGCGTGCGTGCCCAAGATCCCGAGAGGAGAACGGAGGAGAGGGGATTGCGGTGTAGCCATCCCCCCGGCGGGGTGATTCCTCGCTTTCTGTCTCTCTGTCTCTCTCTGTCTGTCTGGCGAGTGCACACACCCTATAGCAAAAACCTCTCCAAAAAAAATTTATTTTTATTTTTAAAAATAACTATTTTATTTAACTTAATTTATTATATTTATTTATTTTAATTGGACTAGAGAGGAATACAGAGAGAGAGAGAAAGAAAGAGAGGGAAAGTGAGAAAGCAAGTCACCAGGTCCAGGACTTGAACTGCCATCAGCCATGTGGGAGTCCAGCACCCCCAGCCACCATGCCACCCACCAACCCCTCTAGGTAAAATTATTAATTGCCATTTTTTTTTTTAAGTAAAGAAATGAGTGTCATAGAATTTAAATCACTTGCCCAAAGTTATATAGGGTTTGTGAGTTTCATAGTCTGTCACATGAATTTAGGTCTTTTTGCCCCTAAAGCCCATGTTATGAATATCCTTTCTAAAATGCTGTGCAATCAAAGGAATGACATAATTTATCACTATTTTATCACGTATAATATAAGAATTTGAGTCTATTTGTATATATCCATACAGAGAACTGGCTTTTCAGTTAGGAATATAAGCATCCCCTCTTATCTGTGGGAGATACGTTTCAACACCCGCAGTTGGACCCCTGAAATCAAGGATAGTACAGTTCTGTGTTACACCATGTTTTTTCCTGTGCTTACCTATCGACGATAAAGTTTAACTTCTAAATTAGGCACAGTATGAGGTTGACAACAATACCTAATAATAAGCAGAACAATTATAATGCTGTACTGTAATAAAAGGTATGTAAATGTGGTCTCCCATTGTACTGAACTTGCTTATTTTCAGACTGTGATTGATCACGTTTAACTGAAACTGTGGATAAGAGGGGATAGACTCTCAGAAGTAGAATTGTTCCATCGAATGATGTGAACATTTTCAAGTTTTTTTTTTTTTAAAGAATTATTTTATTTAACTTTGTTTATTATTATTATCATTATTGTTTTCCAGTTTGATCAGAGAGAGACAGAGAGAGAGAGAGGAAGTGAGAAAGCAAGCCACCAGGTCCGAGACTTGAACCGTGGTCGGCCATGTGGGAGTCCAGCGCCTTTAACCACCATGCCACTTGCCAGCCCCAACGCTTTCAAGTTCTTAACACCTATTTTCATACTACAATTCCAAAGGACACAACAGTTACATTTTTAAATTTATTTTATTTCATCTTATTTAGTAGACAAAAACAAAGTCTCTAGGGACCAGCAGCTAATAATATATATTAGCTAAGAAGCATATTGACCTTTAAAAAAATATGTCTTTCGGGAACCAGCAGTTAGTGTAATGGCTATGTTGCTGGATTCCCACGTCGTCGACCGCGGTTTGCATCCTGGACCCGGTGGCTTAGAACTCACGCCGGGCGCGTGTGCATGCGTGCCCAAGATCCCGGGAGGAGAATGGAGGAGAAGGGATTGTGGCGTGACCATCCCCCCTGGGGGGCGATTTCTCACTTTTTGTCTCTATGTCTCTCTCTGTCTGTCTGGTGAGCACACATGCCCTATAGCAAAAACCTCTCAAAAAAAAAATGTCTTTCAAACTCTGGATCATTATAGAAATTGGCCATCTTTTTTTTTTTTTTTTTGGAGAGATTTTCACTGTAGGGCGCGTGCGCTCGCCAGACAGACAGAGAGAGACATAGAGACAGAAAGCGAGAAATCACCCCCCAGGGGGGATGGTCACGCCACAATCCCTTCTCCATTCTCCTCTTGGGATCTTGGGCACACACGCACACGCGCCCGGCTTGAGTTTTAAGCCACCGGGTCCGGGACACGAACCGCGGTCGACTACGTGGGAGTCCAGCGACATAGCCATTACGCTAACTGCTGGTTCCCAGAAATTGGCCATCTTTTAAATGATTAGTTACATAGATTTAAGTATGGTAGTGCCCTAGTTAAAACTTCGAATTTATGTGTACTTAAAAATGAGCGCTTTTGTCCTAAATGCCTTTTCTATCACAGCTTCTACCATTGTCATTTTAGAGGAAGGAAAAAAGGCAGTAATGGGTAATGCATTTTCCTATGGACTGAAAATTAGTATGCATTTATGAACATTTTATATACGGTATATATTTTTGTAAAGAATTATTTTTATTTAACTTTACTTATTCATCCATTTTAATTTAATCAGAGAGCAGGGGGTGGGAGAGAGAGAGAGAAAGTAAGAAAGCAAGCCGCCAGGTCCAGGACTTGAACCACAGTTAGCCATGTGGGAGTCCAGAGCCCTTAACCACCACACCACCTGCCGGCCCCCAGGGTATATTTTTTAATATAAAGAATTGTTTATTGGGACTAGCAGATGACATAATGGTTACGACACTGGACTCCCACGTAGTTTACATCAGTTCAAGTCCTGGACCTGATCGCTTACAACTCATGGTAGGTATATGTGCGTCATGCCCAAAATCCTGAGAGGAGAATGGAGGAGAAGGGATTGTGGTGTAGCCATGCCCCCAGGGGATGATTCTTGCTTTCTATCTCTCTTTCATGTGAGTGCACATTATTTATTATAATTATTTTAAAATTTGTTATAGGGCACATGCATTCACCAGAGAGAGACAGAGAGAATGAGAAAGGGAAATGAGAAAACAATCCACCAGCTTCTGGGCTTGAACTATGGTTAGTCAAGTGAGAGTCCAGATCCTTCAAATACTATGCCTCCTGCTGACCCTCTAGAATGTATGTTTTAACCGTTTAATGGGTTAACTTATATCACTGGAATATAATTTAGGCCCTGTGTGATGTTTCTATAAGAAAGTATGTTCTAGAATCCAAACATCCAACTTAAGCAAACCTTTGAAGCAACCCTTTGAAAAGTGACAAGATGCCTGCCTGTATTTTCTGCTATAAATTGTGTCATTGGACTTGCTCCTCTATGAATATATTAAGTAAAATGAACTTAATTTTATTTAGGCAACCCTGAAGATGTTGTTGGATCATTTGAAATTGGTGGCTTCTTATCATGAAGTGAATAAGATGACCTGCCAGAATTTAGCTGTGTGCTTTGGACCAGTATTATTGAGTCAGAATCAAGAGACGTACTCCCACAATAACAGAGTCTTTACGGATTCAGAAGAACTGGCAAGTGCCTTGGATTTTAAAAAACATATTGAAGTTCTTCATTACTTACTCCAGCTTTGGCCAGGTAAGTGGTTCTATGGAAGTATTTTATGTTTTAGGGTTAGGAGTTTGAATTAGCTAATCATTAAATATGCCCATATGTGATTGAAAAAAATCTTTTGTAGATTTCACTTTTTCAAATAATTATGAAATGATACCTACGTTTTCAATTTTTACCATATGAATTTCCTGCCTTTGCTGATAATATTGTAGACATATAGATCAGTGTACACATTTTGGATTCTGTCAGATCTGGATTTGAATCCTGGTTGTACCACTTGTTAGCAACCTGAACTTGGCAAATCCTAACGTCTTAGAGCCTCAGTATCATCTTTGTCATATGGCTTTAATAATATGTTTATAGACTTTATGTGAGGATTAAATTTAAAAATTATGTATGTGAAGTGGTCAGCACAGCTCTTGCCTTATAATAAGGTACTCAGAAAATACTAATTTCTTTATCTTCTCATTTTTAGTTCAAATAGTATGAAACAGAATTGGTTTTTCTCTTTAAATAAATTCTTTTTCCTGATATCTTCATTCAGAGGCATTCTTCAAATTATTCCAGCTTGGCAATTATCTTTGGTATTTCCGTCTTTTTTAATCTATCTTTTATTCTAGCTAATAACTGAAGTCTGACAATTATTTTCCTAATAGATCTCTTTTTTTTTCCTTTTTCACTCAAATTAAAAAGAGTTGTTCCCCTCCCTTCCTCTATTCCTTTTTATATTCTGAACTTTTCATTTTATGCGTTGTTTTTAAATTTTGGGAAAGATGATTTGCTTGAGATTTCTATTTGAAAAATTATGTCTTTGAAGTAAGCAATTAGAACTGTAGTAAAGCAGTATTAGAAGGTAAAAATTAACCTACCAGTAGTTTTCAGATTGCCTTCCACCAAGCTCTAGGGTTCTTTGAAATCACTTTGGGACCAGATTGGTCATGAGTGGGGGAATAGAATGAAAACACACTTCTCTTTTGACCAGAGCCATCTTTTTTTCACCTATTTTATATGTTGTATTTTCTTTTTTGCTTTTTTTTTAAAAAAAAAATGTTTGCTGTAGAGCATTCACACTCACTGGAGAGACCGACAGAGATAAAGGAGGAGGGACAGTGAGAAGGCATACCCCAGGGGAATGGCCACACTACAATCCCTTCTCCATTCTTCTCACAATATTTTGGGTGTGTACATACATGTGCCTAGTATATTTTTTTTCTAAGCCACTGGTCCAGGACTCTTAACTGGAGTGTAGCAGGTCCCATATGGGATCCAACTGCTTTAATCACCATGCCACTGGCTGTTCTTGTATTGGTCTTTTACAAAATTTTTTTTCTTTTAAAAATAAGTTGGGGGGGGACCAGCAGTTGGCATAATGGCTATGTCGCTGGACTCCCCCGTAGTCAACCGCATTTCGCGTCCCTGACCCGGTGGCTTGAAACACGCTTGGGCGCGTGTGCATGCATGCCCAAGATCCCGAGAGGAGAATGGAGGAGAAGGGATTGTGGCGTGGCCATCCCCCCTGGGGGGTGATTTCTTGCTTTCTGTCTCTCTGTCTCTCTCTGTCTGGCGAACACACGCACCCTATAGCAAAAACTTCTCAAAAAAAAAAAAAAAGTTTGGGGACCAGCAGATGGTTTAATGTTTACATCACTGGACTCCCACATAGTTGACTGAGGTTCAAGTCCCAGAACTAGCAGCTTAAAACTCATGCCAGGTGTATATGCGTGTGTGCCCAAGATTCTGAGAGTAGAATGGAGGAGAAGGGATTGCAGCATGGCCATCCCCCCAGGGGGTGATTTCTCGCTTTCTGTCTCTGTCTCTTTCTGTCTCTCTGTCTCTCTCTGTCCAGCAAGTGCACACATCCTATAACAAAAATCTCTCTCTTTTTTAATAATTATTTTATTTAACTTTATTTATTTATTAAATTTAAATTTGGGAGTGGGAGAGGGAGGAGTGAGAAAGCAAGGCACCAGGTCCAGGACTTGAACCCTGGTTGGCCATGTGGGAGGCCAATGCCCTTAACCACCACGTCACCTGCTGGCTCCAGCAAAAATTTCTCTTAAAAAAATAGATTTGTAGTTTTAACAAGAATACTAAAAATTACTTTTAAGCCACCTTTTCATTTTACAGATGACTAAGTAGATTTAGACAGTGTAACTCCTGGATCTTTACTGTACTACATTTGCCATGTTGCGTAGATTTGAGGTAGGCTTTTTGGAAATAGTATCCATTTACCCCTAATCCATTTTATTTATTTTTCTTATTAGATTATAAATTTTGCTAGGTTAATGATTGTATTTTGCTTACTCTTATATTCCCAGATGCTAACAATATGCACTCAATGTATTTTTGATAAATAAGGTAATTATATTATAGCTAAGAGACTAATAAAGTAGTAATTAAAATAAATCTGTTGGTAGAAAACAAGATAAGGATAAGTTAAATGTCTTAGTAGTATTATAGTTTGAACTGTATTTCTTTACTTCATTCTGTTGAAGGGAGGTAGTCAACAGTGGTGAGAACACCAGAACTTTTCTTCTGGGGTTAAAATTAGTCATTTTTGGGACCAGCAGATGGCAGAATGACTACACTGCTAGACTCCCATGTAGTCAACTGCAGTTCGAGTCTTAGACTTGGTGGCTTAAACCTTATGCTGGGTGTGTGTGCGTGCATGTCCAAAATTCCGAGAGGAGAATGGAGGAGAAGGGATAGTGGTGTGGCCATCCCCCTGGGGGGGAATTTCTTGCTTTCTTTGTCTCTGTCTCTCTGGTAAGCACACATACCATATAGCAAAAAAAAAAAAAACAAAAAACAAACAAACAAACAAAAAAACTCTAAAAATAAATAAAATTAGTAATTTTCTTTGCACATTTAATATAAAATCATTCTGGCACCAGTAGGTTAAAAACCAGTGATGTTGGAACCAGCAGGTGGTGTGGTGGTTAAGGCACTGGACATTCCCATATGGCCAACCATGATTCAAGTCCTGGACCTGGTGGCTTGCTTTCTCACTCACTTTCTCTTTGTGTGTGTGTGACTCTCTGGTCCAAATGAAATAAGTAAATGAGTAAATAAAATGAAAAATATTAAAAAAAAAACCAGTGATGTCGACTTTTTAGAAATTGAAATTTTAGTCTAAAAGAGATAAAAATACCAGTTTAGTTAGTTTCTTAAGTATTCTCCAAGAAAATATACAAAAATAACATTTGAATAAGGTCTGGGTTAAACAGTTTTAAGAAGTTAGTAACAGGGGGAACCAGCAGTTAGCGTAATGGCTATGTCGCTGGACTCCCACGTAGTCGACCGCGGTTCACGTCCCAGACCCGGTGACTTAAAACTCACGTCGGGCGCATGTGCGTGCGTGCCCAAGATCCCGAGAGGAAAATGGAGGAGAAGGGATTGCGGCGTGACCATCCCCCCTGGGGGGTGATTTCTCACTTTCTGTCT